CTATCAACATAAACCCAAAATCTACACCATCAGGAAACTAAATCCTCATGAAAAGTGACAAAATTTCCCACAAAAGAAACTAAATCATCATGAAAAGTGACCGACTTTCTCCTAAGCAAGAAAAATATTTCACGCATTTCTCATGCGAAAGACGAGAAAATCAAGAATGTCGAGAGGGCGAACCTTGAGAAAGCCATTGCTCGCGTCGTGCATCAAGCTTACACTGCTTCAATCTGGCGGACCTATTGGCCTAATGCCACAAATCAAATTAACGATACAAAAATCAATGACGGGAGGAATCAAAAAATACGGAATGGCAGAAAACAGGAAACGAATTTTGCTTGTGAGGAAACAGAGCAACGAGGAAAGCAATTGGAAATAGAAGAAAAGATCAGGGATTGATCACTCACCCTCTTCTTCTTCCCGAAATCCTTCGGGGCGGAAGGAATGGAGGCGTTGGAGGTGATTGAATCGGACACCATGGCTCGCTGCTGCTAAGGAGAGAATAAGGAAATCGTTGAAGAAGAGATTGGTTAGGATTCGATAAAGGATATACGGCAAAACCCTAATTCGTTTCTGGTTCAGGGGCGATAAGATTTCAATCCGGGAATTTTTCTAGAGAGAGGAAACAAAGGGGAAAACTGGTTTTCAGTAGAGAGAGAGAAAGGATAACGGAAACTCTTCTCCTCCGCTCGCTCGTCTAATTTCACAGAAAACAATACTCTCCGAAATTACAAACTACGCCACGCCCCGTTCCAGCTTTTTGTTTATATAGGGAGACAATTCCCAATGTGCCCCTCGTTTGGCCACAATCTACACGGGTGCCTTACAGCTTTGCAGTTTGCACGTTCATTTAAGTCATTTTATTTTGGACACATCCGTTCGGATATTTTTTGCGGCCCACGTAATCAAAACGACGCCGTGAGATTGATTTTCTTCCAACGCATACCCTCCAAACCGATGTCAGTTTATGTAGTTTAGGGGGTTTTCAACGTTTTACCCTTTGTCCATTTTGGTAATTTGCTGATGGTTAATTAACTGCACGTTTGTTTTTGAAGTTTGAAAAAATAGCATCAACGGGTTGCAGGACGTATTACTGTATTTACTGACTCCGGATAATTCGATGTACTTTTGTTGCTGTAGTTTGTCTTTTCCTAAAAATAGATGATAATAATAATATAAATATATATTTTTCACAAAAATTGGTTAAACAAAGAACTAAGTAAGGGGTCAAATATGGGAATTGCGTGGCCTAAAAGAAGTTACTAATACCAAATATATAACCTTGGGTGGCAAGTCTATGTTGTCCTTTTCTTTTCTATCTTCACAGATATGGGATTACTCTAATGAGGGCTAGGTTATGTGTGATTATCACTAAAGAATTAAATTATAGTAACTTAGTTTGTTTCATAATTAGTCATAGACTTTTTGTTGGGTTTCATCTTCAAATTCTTTGTTACTGGGGAATGCATGCATCAGTGCATTATATGGTCATCAATTATGCATGAGTTTCTTCTATCAGTTGTATAAACCTCGTTAAGGACATGTCCAGAAGACGTCGAATGTAGCACACAAAGAGAATGCTCCTCTCGCTTAATAAGTTCTTCAAGCCAACTTCCTTGAAGATCATCTATGGAGTTTTACTAATGATTCATGATTAATGTAGTATGATGAAGCAAACGGATACAAAATATGTCATTTTATACCCAAAATATGATGATTGTATCTTTAACACCTTTGATATTGTTGTGATAACGTTTTGGATATTGGTGTTTAGTTTGTCACTCAACATGTGTGTTAAGCACAAACTTATTACTTATTGGGTTGGTGCTCAAAAATCAACAAATTAATTGTACTTCAAACACATTCTAATTATCATGCAAATCCATCTTATTTATGTACACCGTGATTTGTATTTATTTTTATGTTGAGTATAGATGCATAACGACTATTGAATGATCCTAAAACATCCTTAGCCAAATACTATTGTGGAATCGGGTTATAGCAATTGTACATAAACAATGTTAAATGGAGGGAACTTGTGTGGAGAATTGATAACAATGGTGGGAAGTAGTGGGGTCAGAGATTACATCTGCAGTTTGGTTGGTTTCCCCAAAAAAAGAACCCCACATGAGAACATGGGTAGGTAGTCAATGGTCACCCCAACTAGGGGTGGGCATATGGTTCGATAAAACCAAACCCAACCCAACCGAACTGAATATAAACTGAACTAAAACCGAATTAATGTTATTCTGTTCAGAATTCGAAAGGGAGAAGAGCATATTTCGGAAACTAGGGTCCTTTCACCCGAACCGAATAACCGAATTACTATAATTGCAAGCTCCAAATGGTGGATTTTTATGTTTGTGCTTATTATGAGGCTTAAATATTTGAATCATGTTAGTGCTTTATGACTTATGTGTTGAAATGTTTGATTTTATCATCGATGATGCATATAACTGCATATTTATTATTTACATTAGGGGTGAAAAATAATTTAAAAGAGAAAAGATACAAGCTAACCTCACAAGTTCGATTTTGTAAGAAAAACCAAACCGAATTATAATGCGGTTTAACTGACCGAACCGAATTATAATGCGATGTGAACTGACCGAACCGAATTATAATTTGGTTCAAATTCGGCTTGAGGTTTGATGGAGTTCGGGGACCCGTTATGCATTATTTTGGTTCGTTTTGAACCAAACCGATCGAATGCCCACCCCTAACCCCAGCCCATGCCTAACAAGAAGGAAAAAAGGTGACACTTATGATATTCCTGAAGGATCTTGAGCAATTTGTGTCGGCTTGGTCACCACTCGCCAGTCACCTGACTCCCAACATCGTCATTTAGGGCATCCATCCACCAAGTCTTTGTTATGTCTTCTTTGTGTCCACTCTCTTCTTCGCTCTTTGTAGGCTGATTTATCATTGTAATTCGTGTTTGACGACAAAATTCACAAACTTTCTTTTGGTGATTCTAGTTTTTCAAGTACTCATCCTTTTGATATGTTGTCTGCCAATGTCTAGGGCCCAACTCATGTCTCTTCCATGGATGGATATTCTTATTATTTAGTCATTGTTGATCATTTCACTTGTTACGCGTCGATGTATCATATTCATCTCAAGACTAATGTGTTGTCTGTTTTTCTTGCTTTTAAAAAGCTTGTCAAAATTAAAACTACTTTAACACCATTATTTGCCGCATTTACACTATTGGCGGTAAAGAGTTTCAAAAAATAAAATTAGACTTAGTTTTTCATGGCATTACTCATCTTTGACTCCTTATACTCCTGAATACAATGGCTTGTCAGAATGTAAATATATTAGCTTACTTTGCCTTGGACTCATGGTTGGAAATATTGAACTATTTCATTGAGGAGGTAATTTGGAGCTGGTGAGATTCGAGTGAACTAAACTTGAAAATGCACATGCCTTCAAAAAGGAGGGTTAATGGAAGTATAAAGCCGAGCTTAAGGAGGTCTAAGCTAGCAGCAATTGAGTGAGACCAATCAACTCGCTTGATGCCTTTTGAGTCCCCACTTGATTACGGAAGTAGCAAAGCTTCCCATTTCCAAACTAGCTGCTACCCTTTCACTGTTTTGGCAGCTGATCATTACTTGAACTTAAAAATTGATGATTTTATTAAAGACGTAACTATCAGGAAGAATTCCTTCTCATAGTCATACATGTACTCCTTGTATATATCCTTATCATACTATTATTTTGTCCTTTTAAACTACTGTGTGAATGGAGCATAAATAACTCTCATATTCACTGTTTTGGCAGCTGATCATTACTTGAACTTAAAAATTGATGATTTTATTGAAGACATAACTATCAAGAAGAATTCCTTCTCGTAGTCATACATGTACTCATTGTATATGTCCTTATCATACTAGTATTTTGTCCTTGTAAACTACTGTGTGTATGGGGCATAAATAACTCTTATCAATGCAATACAATACACAATTGATTTCCCTTACATGGTATCAGAGTTGGAGTTTCCAACTTAATCCTGAACTCTTTCTTTCTTCGGTCAATCTTCCGCCACAACCATGAGTGACAAATATTCATTCCAGTATGCCTCGCAGCTCGTCTCCAACTATAATTTGTTAACGTTCAATCTAGTGTAACAAATCTTTATGTTACACCATGCAACGAAAGCAAGTGAATGAATATGACATTCAACCACCAAGTTATAATTCTCTACTAAGAGTTGATACTCGAGGTGCCTTTTTCCAAAATATAAAGATGTAAATTCATATTTAAAAAACCTTCACATATCCTTGAACATCATTCTCTCCAAAGATGGCTCACTGATCTGCTTGTAGTAGTGGTTCTAATTTACCTGACCCAAAGGTCATGATCGTATTCTCTAGGGTCTCTCACAACCACTTACTCAGATGGTGAGGGATGAGTTCTATGTTGAAAGAATGCATGTAGGAGTTTGAGGTGCATCTGGTTTTGCAAAACATAAAGTAAAAGTGCATAAAAGAAATCTATACTATGGTGGCGAGTGAAGAAAGACATATAGGTACGTTCCCTCAATCTCAGCAACATACGAGTTGCTGATTTCTTATGTCATCTAATCCCACTTTGTGTCAAAGCATTTACCCGAACTATTAAGCGACAAGGTCCTACATATTTCTCCTTTGAGGATTCACACCATTTAATTGAATGATGATCGATCGAATAGAACATGTATCCTCTTGTTCTAGGCAAATAGGATTTCAATGCTTGCACCACGATGGGATGCAAGCTTGACTAGGCGTTCATTTGAATGAACAAAAGACAACACATAGGAAATCATGCACGAAAGATAGAAAGATGAAATTGATAGACCGATAATTATACATGTTTCCACCCCTATTCTGAAGCTGTTTGTGATGAGGAATCTCGTGTTTTAAGCCGATTTCACGCTAGGTTGTGTGTTTATGTCATATTTCAGGTCCTGGCGTTGGAATCGAGGCGGAGAAACGAGTTCTGGGTCGAAAGGAGCAAAGTTGGGACGAATAGGGTTGAAGGAGGAAAATACCCGGTCAGGTGGCCAAATACCCGACCGGGTATTCACCACTTTTGGGCGCCCGAGAAGCAGAGAGGGGCCCGGGCACAGCAGCAAAATCCCCGGTCGGGGATTATGGCGATTGACCGGGGATTCTTCCCTTGAGCGAAACGGTGCGCTGCAGAGATACCCGGTCGAAACCCAAAATACCCGACCGGGTATTTCGACCGGGTATCGCGACCAGGCAGCTGATTTAAGGAAGGAGAAGGCCAACATTGAAGGGGTCTGAGTTTTTGAGAGAGAAATCGATTCCTAGAGAGAGAAAGCGACGAACCAGAGTTCCCAAGCGCCATAGATCGATCTTCAACACCATTGGAGCCCGTCTTGAGCTTGGAGAAGTGCGATTAAACGTCCAGGAGCAGGAATCCAACTTCACAGTATGATTTCCGTGTCTGAATCTGCTTTTGCTTCTTTCTCTATGGAGTAGTTTCCCCATTCATCTGGGTATGGAGAACCCTAGATTTGTATGCTAGGTCTGATTGTATGAATCCAAGTACAGAGTTTGTGAATTGATTATATTCGATTGAGGTTTGAATGATTGAATGACTTGAATCCTGATCAAATTCCTGTTGTTTCTGCTTTGACCTAGAATGAGAATATCTGCCTAGGTTGATAGAGTACCCTTAATCGAAGGTGGCGAATTGGTGACTTTAGTCGAGGAGCCAATTCGCTATTCTGTACCGAAGTCAATTCGGTAGTGGAGGTTTGGTTCATTAGGGCCTCAATCTGTTTACTCCGGTGGAGGTTAGTCGCCCGCTAGAGACTCAGATTGAGAGGGTCTGGAGACCTTTAGTCGAGACTTCAGGCTAATTGAGAACCTCCCGCAGTATAACTTTCATGAAAACTGAACTTGGTAAATTGCAATCCGACTTAACTGCAGTCTAGGGGGAACCATATCCGGGTGACCTCTCTTGACTTGACAACAAACCGTTTACTTGCTTTGTGTTTTGTTTGCTTGAGTTGCACTAAAAGTTCACCGCTAAATAACAAGAATTCACCGAGTAGTCATCACATCTAGGACCCGGGTTGACATTAAAACCCGACCCGCTATACTACGCTTTAGGAAGTGGTTATACTTGGCCATTTTCTAGAGTGACAGTAGGAGCGAGTCAAGTTTTTGGCGCCGTTGCCGGGGACGGCTAGGTTGTTGAAGAAAAGTGATTTCTGTTACTTTAGCATTTTCATTTTCTCTCATTGAGTTTTTGTTTCTCCCACTTGTGCCTTCACGGGGTTTGCGTTGCTTGATTGTGTGCAGATAGTATGACCCGTAGCCAGTCGGGAAGTTTACTACCGTTGAATCCTGAGATTGAGCGCACCTGCAAACAACTTCGGAGACAACAGCGAGTTAGACTGGCTACGGTGGAGCGCCGAGACGGCCAATTGACCAGCGACTCCGAGGACGAGCACGAGATGGAAGGCGATCAGAACCCGCCTCCTCAGAACCAGGTCCTGGGGAACGACCCAAACCCCCAGGGAGCTGGCCATCATCATCCACCACCACCGTGTCCCACCTTGGAGTACTTTTATACTCCACGGATTGCTGACATCCGCCCGGTCATCCTCTATCCGCCCATTCCTGCAAACAACTTCGAGATCAAGCCATGCTGGATTCAACTCATCACCACCTCTATCCAGTTTCATGGCTTGAAGGATGAGGAAGCCCGGGTACACCTTTCCTGTTTTCTGCAGCTGACGAACGGGTTCAAGCTGAATGGTGTTCCGGATGATGCAATCCGCCTTCACCTCTTCCCCCATTCTCTGGCGGGGAATGCTAAGAGGTGGTTGGAGACCCAGCCCCCATTGTCCATCACCTCTTGGGATGATCTGGCTGACAAGTTCGTGCACCGGTATTATCCGGCATCGAAGACCACGGAGATACAGCGGGAGATCACTCACTTCCGCCAAGAGCCAGATGAGTCCCTTCGTGATGCATGGGAACGGTACATGGGATACTTCTGGCAGTGTCCCCATCATGGCTTCAGCGATGCTTTCACAGTAGGGAACTTCTACAACGCCCTCACTCCAGATAGCCAGAGGGTGATTGAGTCTCTATGCCCAGGAGGGGATATTCTTACTAAGACTCCACCCGAGCTGAACCAGATGATCAGTACCTTGGCTGCCCGAGACCACTCCTGGGGGCAGATCAACAGAGGCAAGAACTCCCGGGACCGGGGTGTGCATGCTATGGAGGCCAGATCCGGGTTAGAGCAGCAGGTGGCTGAGTTGGTGCAGACACTGAAGCAGCCTAACAGTCTCCTTCCGGGCCGAGGTGTAGCTACGCCTCCAGTAGCTCAGTGTCAGTGGTGTGAGAGCCCGAACCATCTGGTGGAGGACTGCCAGGCTATGCGGGAGTCCTCTACTCCCCAAGAACAGTTGGCCTTCATCGCAAATGCTCGGCGCCTGGACCCATACAGCAGTACCTATAATGAGGGATGGCGCCAGCATCCCAACTTTGCGTGGAGCAGCAACACCAACAAACCACCTGGTTTCCCAGCACCAGCAGGTGGTTTCCAGCAGAGGCAGCCCTTCCAGGCTAGGCAGGGGCCACCACCACAGCAGCAGCCCTACCAGCCTAGGCAAGGGCAGCCATTCCAGCAGCCCCAGCGCCAGTTTGCTCCGCCTCCAGCAGCCGAAGCTCCAGATAATCAGATGGCTGAACTGAAGAATATTTTGGCGGCATTCATGACCACCAGCCAGGCGAATTTCACGAGGGTGGACCAGAGCATAGCATCTCTGGAGGCAGGACAGAGGAACCAGGGTGCCATTCTGCAAGATTTACAGAACCAGGTTGGTGCCATAGCTCGCCAGATTACTACTCGGGCCCCGGGGACTCTACCTGCCACCACTGTCCCCAATCCACGGGACCCGCACGAGCAGCTGGGTGCCGTTTTCACCAGGAGCGGCAGGGCTACATCAGCTGATCCTGCCCCGACCAGGCAGGAGGAACCATTACCTGCTTCAGCACTTCCAGCCGGTGATGCAGAAGTGCGGGTGGAGAAGGAAGCTCCTGCTCCCAAGCCACAACCAGTGGTGAAGGAGCACGTACCCCAGCTGCCCTTCCCCACTCGCCTACACAAAGATAAGCTGGAGACTGAGTTTGCCAAGTTTATGGCAATGTTGAAGCAGCTCAACATCAGCGTACCATTTGTGGAGGCACTGTCGAAGATGCCCAAGTACGCGAAGTTCATGAAAGATCTCTGCACCAACAAGAAGAAACTTGGGGATCTCTCGACAGTGCTGCTGAGCGAGGAATGTTCTGCCATCCTGCAGAACAAGCTGCCTGAAAAGCGCAAGGATCCAGGGAGTTTTACTATCCCTCTTACTATTGGCAACATGCATGTAGGAAAGTCCTTGGCGGACCTAGGCGCTAGCATTAATGTCATGTCATATAAACTATTCAAAAAGCTAGACCTAGGTGAACTTAGCCCTACTAGGATGAGCATTCAGCTAGCTGATCGTTCCGTGGTGCATCCTAGGGGTATCATAGAAGATGTGCTGGTTAATGTTGGTGCATTCACATATCCTGTTGATTTTGTTATTCTGGATATAAATGATGATGTGGATGTGCCTTTGATTCTAGGTAGACCGTTTCTTGCCACCGCCAAGGCACTGATTGATGTGCATGATGGTAAACTGATCTTGCGTGCTGGAAATGAACAGGCTATTTTTCCTGTGACTGAGTTTGATCATTGTGCTATGATTTCTGTATCGCCTGTGCATGCTATTTCTGATCAGGTACACGAGCCTGTCGTGTATCCTTCTGCACCTCTCACTTTGCAGGACCCGCCTATCATTCCTTCGGCGCCACTCCATCCAGTCTCGCCTCCGAACAAAAATCTCAAGGAGGAGTGGCGGCCGAAGCCGCAGGTGGCTAAGCCTGCACGGAAGAAAGGTGGAGACCACTATGAGCTGGTCCCACCCCCTGCACCACGACCACCCTGGCCATCCGAGTACTCACTCGCCTGCATCTTGCCGGATGGCCAGGTCGAGCTGACCACTGCTGGTGGTTGCAACCGTCGGGTGCACGGTCACCACCTGAAGCTGTACCTCAAGAGCGACGTGGATCTGCTCTTGGAGGCACCTGTTCCTGCACCTCCCTGAGTATCCACCATGGGCGTCCAGCTAAAAGACGGTAAAGAAGCGCTTGTGGGGAGGCAACCCCACCACGGTTTGACTTTCTTTCTTATGTTTCGAGTCGGATTGCGATTTGGTTTTGTTTTGGTTTGTTTCCTTTGTTTTGGATGATGTCTTATTGGGCTGACATCGGACCTAACCTATTCTGGTTGAGCTCTTCTGTTCCCCTTGAGCTGTGCTGTGTTCCCGACTGGTCCATTTCCAGTCTTCTGCAGTCCGTGCATACCGGTAACATCGTTCCCCTTTCCTTCCCTCTTCTCCATTGAGGGCAATGTCGATCTTAAGTGTGGGGGGGATGTTTATCTTTTGACTGCATTAGCTCTATTTGTGTGCTTGGGGCCTAGTCCACTGTCCAAATTTTTAAATTTGAGGGCTCCAAGTACGTGTTCCTTGCAATTGCCTGCTCAGTATGCTTTGAATTGACAGTCTCTGTAGTGATTTGCAACCTAGGGAGGTAGTGTAGCACTATGGAGGATGTTGATGCATTTAAGACGTCTCATTTCTTCTTCATATTGTGTTGGTTGATTGAGCGAATTAGTGATCTTAGGACCCTTGAATTGTGTGGTATTGTGGACTCTCTGCCTGTCATGGACTCTTGTATCATGTTCTGAATGTAACAGGTGCTCGAAATGTGCTTTAAAATAACGTCTCCCGTGCGAATAGGGTGAAAGTGTGTAAGGGGAGACGGGAATCCGTTCCCAATTTCCACCTACTACCTCCAGCCCCCTTACATGTCTTTCCCCCGCACGAGGCTCGAGACACCCGCTCCTGGCATGGCCGGTAAGAGCCGGGCTCCCGCAAAACCTTTGCTAGGTGGGAGCCCTCATTTTCTGCAGAAACAGGTTGGAACCCGTGGAAAAAAAAGAAAAACAGAAAAACAAGCAAAAAGAAGAAAGAAAAGGGTTCCAACCATGTTCACAAAGAAAATCGAGCACCTTGAATTAATGTGAGTCCATGATCTTTTGTTTGTGAGAGTCTCTTCATCCACGATTCATTTGTCCTCTGTTCACTATTTGCCATGATGCCGACTCGAGACTAGCGTTCTCGCCGAAGAGGCTATGAGATGACTTGTGCGTCGGTTGACCTCGTAAGCTGCTAAATGATCTAGGAAGTCCTCTACCTACGATCGAGGTTGTTTGTTGCTATAGAGGTCTGGAGAGCTGCATTGGTTTGAGTTAGGTTTGCTTGGGGACAAGCAAACGGTTAAGTGTGGGGGAGTATGATAGACCGATAATTATACATGTTTCCACCCCTATTCTGAAGCTGTTTGTGATGAGGAATCTCGTGTTTTAAGCCGATTTCACGCTAGGTTGTGTGTTTATGTCATATTTCAGGTCCCGGCGTTGGAATCGAGGCGGAGAAACGAGTTCTGGGTCGAAAGGAGCAAAGTTGGGACGAATAGGGCTGAAGGAGGAAAATACCCGGTCAGGTGGCCAAATACCCGACCGGGTATTCACCACTTTTGGGCGCCCGAGAAGCAGAGAGGGGCCCGGGCACAGCAGCAAAATCCCCGGTCGGGGATTATGGCGATTGACCGGGGATTCTTCCCTTGAGCGAAACGGTGCGCTGCAGAGATACCCGGTCGAAACCCAAAATACCCGACCGGGTATTTCGACCGGGTATCGCGACCAGGCAGCTGATTTAAGGAAGGAGAAGGCCAACATTGAAGGGGTCCGAGTTTTTGAGAGAGAAATCGATTCCTAGAGAGAGAAAGCGACGAACCAGAGTTCCCAAGCGCCATAGATCGATCTTCAACACCATTGGAGCCCGTCTTGAGCTTGGAGAAGTGCGATTAAACGTCCAGGAGCAGGAATCCAACTTCACAGTATGATTTCCGTGTCTGAATCTGCTTTTGCTTCTTTCTCTATGGAGTAGTTTCCCCATTCATCTGGGTATGGAGAACCCTAGATTTGTATGCTAGGTCTGATTGTATGAACCCAAGTACAGAGTTTGTGAATTGATTATATTCGATTGAGGTTTGAATGATTGAATGACTTGAATCCTGATCAAATTCCTGTTGTTTCTGCTTTGACCTAGAATGAGAATATCTGCCTAGGTTGATAGAGTACCCTTAATCGAAGGTGGCGAATTGGTGACTTTAGTCGAGGAGCCAATTCGCTATTCTGTACCGAAGTCAATTCGGTAGTGGAGGTTTGGTTCATTAGGGCCTCAATCTGTTTACTCCGGTGGAGGTTAGTCGCCCGCTAGAGACTCAGATTGAGAGGGTCTGGAGACCTTTAGTCGAGACTTCAGGCTAATTGAGAACCTCCCGCAGTATAACTTTCATGAAAACTGAACTTGGTAAATTGCAATCCGACTTAACTGCAGTCTAGGGGGAACCATATCCGGGTGACCTCTCTTGACTTGACAACAAACCGTTTACTTGCTTTGTGTTTTGTTTGCTTGAGTTGCACTAAAAGTTCACCGCTAAATAACAAGAATTCACCGAGTAGTCATCACATCTAGGACCCGGGTTGACATTAAAACCCGACCCGCTATACTACGCTTTAGGAAGTGGTTATACTTGGCCATTTTCTAGAGTGACAGTAGGAGCGAGTCAGAAATCAATCGTATTGAATACCAAACATCAAGTTTTACATGTATAGAACCTCTACGGTTCACAAACCTATGCAACTAAGTGAACAAGCTAGCCATGGATATGAGTTTCTAGGGATTCATTGCGTGAAACAAAAATCCCAGATAACCACTAGAAATGGCTGTCAGAATAGGAAAATTGGGGTTTAGGCCGCCGATTTTGGCGTTGTTTCCTCCCTCGTAACTGGTATCTCTCTAAGTAAAAAGGGTTACCCTGTCGGGAGAGTAACAACCCTCTAATTGCCTCCTATCACTAGCGATCGAGTTCTAAACCCTAAAGACCTATTTTTATGTCCTGGATTAGGTTTTTTGGGGAGAAGAACTCGGCCTTGACGCATCATCTAGCCAATCAGAAGAGTCTCTCAGTGCAACTACTACTTCAGGATAACTTTTAGATGCCTTCCTAGTGAAGTTTGGAACCTTCTCAAAATGGTGGCCATGACGTTGTTTTACATCACGCCAATTTTAGTCCCATTTGAAGCATTGGTCTTCTCTTTTATTCTTGATTAAGCAGTCGAGCCTCGATGTCCCTCGGTGTTCCCAAGTGAGCTTTTAGCCTGCTTTGACCGGAAAAATATGCAAAACACTACCAAAAGTGTATCATGATAACAAAAGCAGTGCCAAACACACTTCAGCATACACATAGCAAATACAATGTATTATGACGATAAATATGGAAAATAAATAGACTTTGGATCATAATACGAGGGTCTAAAATAATATATTTCACGTGTCATCAAATAGAACTTTGCTTGTCCCCAAGCAAATCTAAGTTCACGATGGAGCAAAAATGGAAAACGAAGAGAGCAGGCGTATTATTTCCTCACCTACGACAATTACCTAAGAGGTTTATCATCATGAGGAGCTCTAGATAAGGATGGTTGGTAGACAAAGCCTAGATGACCACCCCACACTTTATTTCGAACCATACAAAAGCGACGAAGGAGCTTAGGAATGGAAAAAACTAGCTTATAGCTAGTCACACACGCAAATTAGTATGGAGCAATAACACAAGAAGAGGTGCATCATTGATCCATGTACTCAAAGCGTGTATCCATAAACCATAAAAATAGAGGCACATGTCTTTTGATTCACACATCCCTACTCATCCACACAACCACAACATGCCAAAATAACTCCAACCACAATGCATACAAGGATATGGAGTTCTTAAGAGATATAAGCATGGTAAGAATACGAGCACTCCATAACAAACATACACGAGTTGAACCAATGAAGCAAATAGGTCCAAAGTAAATTAAAAAAATTGTATATGCATGCACTTAACATGCTTTGGACTAAAGATATTAGGGTAGGTGGAGTAGTGAAGGATGCTTAATGATGAGAGGTGTGAGTGAGCAATATGATAGTGATGGAGGGTGCAAATGAGAAGTGACATGTATTGGTCGACATAGGGCAATGCTTATCAAAGCATACATGGTCAAGGATGGGTAAGAAGAAAAAGTGAAATGACGAAGGCAAAGAACTAGAGTCCGAGATTGGGGTCCAACCGATAGAAATGGTGACACCTACGCCATTTTCACTATCATTTGGGATGGGTGGGATGGGTTCTGAAATTTGAAGTTACTTCTAATCCTAGGGCAAACCAATCATGTATTCTATTAAAAACAAGAGATCGAGAGATAAAAAGGGATTTAGAATACAGTTTAGATTGCACAAATAACTTATTATGACGTCCTATCATCATTCCATGATGCTTGAAGATTATTGTGTCCCATAAAGCTAGGGTAGACCAAATTTATTCGATATAGGCCACTTCTCAAGGCTACACCTAACAAATCTGAGCTATCTCTTGATAGTACTTTTCGTTATTGTCTTTAAATTAGAAAGATAATGGGTTGCATCCCATGTAACACCCTCTCTTTAATGCCATTGAGCTGCACAAGGCTAGAGCATTTTAGGTGTATGACCAATGAGGCTCTATTAGCCATTATTCTCCCCAATTATTCATATGTAAATTTAGGGACATATCAGATTAGTGTCATGAACTAGAGGTGGTTCATAATCACACATGTGTAAGTTGCGCACCATCTCCTTGACTTCTCTTTTGCCGTCAGGTGACAACAATTTCCCCTTGTCAAATGCCCCAAAGTAGAATTCTAACTCCTTCACAATGTCAATGGGAAGGGTCAAATCGACGCCTTCCCCATAGACAAGCATAGGAGTTTGTGAGGAGTCACAACTCAAGCCTACCACAGTAGGGCTCGATTGTGTATAGAATACATCTTTCCTAGCCTCTGGTTTAGTCATATGTATGAGATGGTCCACATCATCAATTCTCATCGTAATTTGATGTTTAGGAATAGGGATGGCAACAAAACCCGAACCCACGGGTATCCACCCGACCCAACCCGGTCAACGCGGGTAAAATTCGTGTTGACGGGTTTTGGGCTGGGTTTGGGTTTAAACCCGTTCACTATTCAACGGGTTGGGTTGGGTTTGGGTTTAGGTAAACCCGGCCCGTGGGTACCCGCCCACCCATATAATTAATTTTTTCGGTATATTTAATATTCTAAACAACTAATCTTATTTATGTTTGTGGAGACATGTCTAATATTTCTTTTTAATTGTGTAGAATGAAGTTGATGTTATGGAGTGGAGAGTAAAGAAACTTAATTGAAAGGAAGAAGCTTTCAATTAAACATGTTATTTATGGATAATTTGTGATTTGCTTCAATTTTCTTGAGTTTTCTAGATTGGTGTTGAACAAATTGTATAGTTAATTTGTGATTTGCTTGAATTTTCTAGAATGATGTTTTATATATGGACAATTTGTATTGAGAGATTGATATTTGACTTTAATTTTGATAAGAATTTGTAATTGTAAATTTTTTACGACAAAACCCGTGGGTACCCATGAACCCGCGGATACCCAACGGGTTGGGTTGGGTTTGAGTTTTTCAAACCCAATGGGTTTTACCCCGGGTTTTTTTCAAAGATAAACCCATGGGTTTGGGTTGGTTTGGCAAAACCCGACCCAACCCGACCCACCAGAAGTGGCCAAGAAAGGTCTCCAAATATGATAGAGTAGTCCTTATCACTTTGTATCTCTATCACTATGAAGATGAGAGAACACAAATGATGCTATTGATAAGACCCAAATGGTATTATTTAGAGCCCATATTTAGGTTCATTTCAAGTGATCTCATGGTCTTCATGGTCAATATATCGTCAAATATACCCTTTATTCATTCATATGAGAAAATATTAGATGTTTAGGGTGTATTAGATGATACGAGTGTTTTGGGTACCAAAAGAGGGCACAAGTGTAGAGAAATGTGCAAAAACAAAGGATCGCAGCCTTCAAAGTCAAGATCACTGTCGCAAAGTTGGAGGCTTTAGGCGCGAACACTTGGAGGAGCCAACAAAGAAGACACATAAAGTTTTTATAGTCGACTCATGACTTTCTTCATCTGAGCCCGCGAAAAAGATCACGGTCGCGACTCATGGATCACGACCGTGAATTCAGGTCGCGAACTTCCTAGCCATCCAAGCGCTTCCCAGATTGCGCCCGCAATCTTTCCCAGTTCGACTGTTTTCTTGGCTGAGACCCTAAAATCTATAAATAGGGGTTTCCTCCCTCTCCTTTTGAGAGCTGAAATCAATCGAGAATGTTCTGGTTTGAGAGAGTGAAAGTAGAGAGAGAAGATGAATGAAGGAGAAGAAGAGAAAGAGGAGAAGAAGGAGTCAAGGAGGAAGAGAGCTCTCCCCAATTCAAGTCTTCTTCTATTTCTCTACATGTATCTTTTCCCCTCCTTTATGGAGTAGTCCTCTAAGTTACCAAACCTAGAATTAGGTTTTGAATATAGATGTGATTGTGTTAGGGTTTGTGTATGGATTTGTTTGTTTTAATGATTATGTGCTTCATTTATGCTTTATTATGTTGGGGCTTGTCTCTCCAACTCTTCCCTACTAGCCTACAATTCACTGTCAGAACTAGGTGAGAGTTTTAGGGTTAGACTGGACGTGAGCGCCTTAAGGCTAATTAAAGGTAGATGACTGACCTTAGGGTTCCTTTTAGTGGATGAGGAGACTGAACTCCT